GGTAAGAAGGGCTTTGGCAGAGGAGAAGTCACCTAACTGCACTGAGAAGAATTTAAATTGACTTTGATTGAAGTTAATAACAATATTGATATTATATAGATATATAGATAGCCTATATAGCATATTTGATGGAGTCTTTCTGAACACTTTTAAAATAAAATACTGCAAATTAAGAATATTTGTAATGTTCTGCACAGATAGTGCCTTAACTTGAATTTGAAAACATGTGGCAGCTTTATTAATACAGCATATAAAAAGATTTGTGGAAGGATACATTCTTCATGGGCTTCAATGGCTCTAGTAAAGGGTGTTTTATGTTTGCTTGTATTATCCTCAGATAGTGGTTTGTTTAAATAACTATGACATTTTAATAAATATTGCAAAAAAGGGCTCCAAAAACGGCATTTATCCTGGCCGGCTTAGCCACTGTGTATTTTTTCAAGCACCACAAGATTCATAGTTTATAAAGTACAATTCTGGGCCATTGATTGTGTCATTTCTCCAAACACATACACTAAAAATGCCTGTTTTTTAAGCCTTAAAATGGTGCAGGAAAATGAGTTTACATTGTATTATACTTAAAGACAGGACTATTCAGTTAAGAGAGGAGAGAAAAGGAAAGAAAATTGTTATAATGGGTGATGTAACAATAATGACAGACATAATATGAGGTCCTTGGCACTCAGACTTTAGAGGGGTCATTTTGTGATCATGGGGCATCAGCCTTACAGCATCAGGACAATGTCATATGGAGTCAGACACTGGAAGTGTGCTGGAGGCGTTGACTGGGACTGATGGAAGGATGAGGCTGATGAGACTGAAGAATCTGCGAGCCACGAATTAGCGGCAGAGAAATAGTTATATATTAAAAGACAGCAGCATCATAAGAGGGCAACCATGTGACAGAGTGTGTTACTTTGCTGAAGGATAGTTGTGACCAGCTATCCAGGCCAGACTCTAAAGACTTTCCAAGGGGTAAAAATGCTGCTGCCGGACTACTGACGGAAGTATTGCTGATATCATGTCCACCATATCCTCTTAAAATACTCTGTCCAACAATATCACTCTCATGAAGAAAGGTTTTTTAACGCTGATTCAAAATAGCAGCGAAACATGCATTCTTGTTCTCAGGAGGGGAAATTGACAGAGGATTAGTCAAAAACTACACAGTAAGTACTTCATAGTACTTGTTGTGGGAGTAGTTTCACTACTAGCCTACTGAGTCCAACAGGATTGATCTCACGAAGAACTATTGGCAGAAAAAATAATAACAAACTCGAGAGACGGCTGAGTTGACCGCAGTGCAGAATCGCTGTATAGTTGAAATCGCTGTATAGTTGAAATCTCCAAACAATGTTGTCCATTTTAGACATAGGCCTATTATATTTACAGCCCTTAATAACATTCATTTTCTGGGCTCAATATGTGTCTTGGCTGTTTTCGTTGTGAAAACAAATGGACCGTAGATACACGGATTGACCATCCTCATCTGCGCTCTTATTTTGAAAGACAACTTCCGGTAGAAGAATATGAAAAAACGGGGGGGTTTTTTGTTTCTGTTTTCTAGTGATTTTATTTTTTGTTTTGAGAAGTAGAAAATGGAAATCATCCCGTTTTTAAGTTTAGTAAATCCATTTTTGACCATGATAATGAAAAACGCCTTGTATTTCAATTTTGGTTTTTTAATTTGAAAACGAAAATCAAATATCCAGTCGTTTTTTGTTTTTGAATATCCATTTGTGAAAAGAAAATCCAATGACCAAAACATACACTGACCGGAAAGCAACAGGCGAAACTGACGAGCGTTGTGAGGGAGGATGAAGAATCTGAAGGTCGATTTGTGATTGAACATATTCACTTGTGCGATCAGCTTTAACCTTCTCAGATTCCGATTTGCATTTCTCAACTTCAATTTGCATGACTTCAGCATTTTCCAATACTTGTGCCTCCACCACGGCTGCATCAGCTTCCCGCTGTAGCGTTATTACTTTCAACTTTGTGTCTATTCTTACTGTTTCCAGCTGATTTTGAGCCTTTTCCATTTTCAGTTTAGCCTCTTCGCTAGCATACAAGGCTCTTACCTTAGCGCAGTGGTTCTCAAACTTTTTCTGTCAGGCCCCCCCTTTGGAGAAAAAAAAAGTCGGGCCCCCCCAACACAAATACGCCACTTTCGGGTCCCGGGGGAGCAGCTGGCAGCGAAACAGCTCAGCTGCTCCCCCGGGACCCGAAAGTGGCGTATAGCCTGCACTTCAACATCAACGAAAGTGCTCGATATATGCTATATTGAATCAATAACACAAACTAACTGTATCACTATAACATGATGATGATGGTGATGGTGATGAAGAATGCATCTAACGTTCCGCTGTTCATTATAATACAAAAACAGAGCATTAAACAAATCATCATGCTCTTACTTTGAAATCATGTGGAAATGTCGCCATCAGCAGGCCATCACGTGGTTTCTGAAAATAACCGAGTGACACGAGTAGATTTTAGCCTAGACCGGCGGAAAATATGTCTCAAAATTCCGTGTGTGTAAAAAGACGATCCGCGAACAGAGATTTGAGATCCGTGAACAGAGATTTGAGATCCGTAAGCGCATTTTTGGTCCACAAATACAAATTGGATTCACAAATGCCTGATCGAAAGGTGTAAATGTTAAAGAGATATTCACAGATCTTTTTTTTATTTGTGAACATATTCAGCGTATTTGCAGATCCGTTTTACACTTGCAAATGTATTTGTGAGTTTGCAAATCTTTTAAATGCATTTGTGGATGTTGTTTTACATTTACAAATCACATATTTACACACAAATTATTTTTATGTTCACACAAATAATTATGAGACATATCTATGCCCATATGACTGTCACAATTCTTCAAAGACCTAAAACTGTAAATAAACACAATACATTGTTCTTAATGTAAATACAAACTTAAATTGCTTTCCTGCATTCTTTACAGTGTTTAATATAGTTGTAAATAAATCGTTTTTTAAACAAACTAATCAATGATCTTTTTAACAATATTCTTCCTAATAAATGATCTTTCACATCAAATAGGTCAAATAGACGAACTTACAGCATTGCCTCTAGGATGTTCCTTGTGGATGGAAGCAGATTACATTTGGAGAAATACACTCTCTGGCCATGCCGTTTCTCTAACGCTAAACCGGAAGTGGCGATGCCGTAAACCAGAAGTGACGCTAAGAACGGCGAACTTAAAGATAACATGACCATTAGCACTCCTAGTGGTGACTTTATGAACTGCAAACAAATTATAACATTATAAAATTTCAAATTTCAAATGTTTGCTCTCCCTGAGGTTTCTCCCATTTCCCCCTTTAAACTGTGGGGTTTTCTCTGGAAGTTTTTCCTTGTACGATGTGAGGGTCAAAGGACAGAGGGTGTCGTATTGTCATACTGATATGCTGTACAAACTGTGAAGACCACTGAGACAAATGTAACATTTGTGATATTGGGCTATATAAATAAACTGATTGAAATGCCTTTTAAAGGTGGGGTAGGTAATTTCGGAGAAACCAGCTCGAGTGCGCTAGAATTTGAAAATACACAACCGGAAAAAATCTGCCACTTCCTTACAGAGCCCCTCCTCCAACACACAAGAACGCGCACATGACCAATGAGGGTGCGAGATAAGTTTGTGCACAGATGGAAGGCTGACAGGCAGGTAGGCCATCCAGTTATTTTAGCCGGGCCAGCTTATTGGTCGTGCTTTTTACAGCGCTACGGCTTCCACAGATGACATTTTTTAATGTTTTTTTTGTCAAAGCACTTAAGATATTCATTGCTATCGGGATGTTAAGAGCATTCCATGGAATATAACAAAAAGTGTATCTCGAGCCGGTTTCTCAAACGTACCTACCCCACCTTTAAGGCAGCAGTGTCTGGTAACACAAGTGGTGCAGTTTGGACCTGCGACACGTTTAATATCAGTAATAATTGAATAGAGAATAGTAAAGCAGTAATTGCTCACGCCCTGCAGTAGCCTAGCATAGTTACTGCACTATTTGTCAAAAAAAGTATTGTAAGCATATGTATTGTTTGTGGGGGGCACTTAATGCAGTAGTGTTTTTTCAAATCGGAAAAAAGTATCCCCACCCATTTTTCTAGTAAAGCCCATAATGGGCACACCCTCTGGTCCCCCTTCTTGAACTAGGGAACCACCACCGTTCCTTCGGTACAGCCCCCAACTTCAACACAAAGTTGATGAGATGTGTCCCTCAACACCCTGAGCCTGCAGCGTTTCTGGACAGGTCTCATCACTCACCGGGGCTTTACAGCAGTGGAGAAGTTGAACCACCTCAGTGGCTGGAAATACCCGAGTCTCAGATGCACCACCAATACCTCTCCAATATACACATAATAAAATATATTCTAAGGCAAACTGTATCACCGGTAAAGGTAATTGACTGTAGAGACCATTCCCCAGCCCAGTCTCAAATATGTTGAAATGATCTCCACCCTAAAAATACACAACACTAACAAGGACACTCTTTACATCCATCCCGTCCAATCTCTTTATCAATGTATGTACTCTGGGTTTGTGTACTTGCGTGTTCCTCTTTGTTTTCTGTCACTATGGGTTTTATTTATTCCTTAGTTTGTGTGCTTCTACCGCATCTGTGACTCACAGACAAACAGGACAGCAGGTGGTGTGTGATGTAATACGGGGCACATATAAGTCAGTCTGCTGGATCTACCTGAGGAGCAAACTGGAGACTCTCACTGGCCAACTGGACCCCACACGGGTTCAGCTTTTAGACATGTCTAAATATGCATACTGAAACTTTTCACGGGCTTCAAAGAGCGCATCAGTTGTAGCTTTTTCTTCGTGGCTTTTCCTCTGAGAGACTGAAGCTGGAAAACATTTTGGGTACATTTTTAAGAATAAATTGATACTTAGACTTACAAATTTATACTAAGAAGTACAGAATAGTCAAATCTCTAAGGCTTCCAGGATTGCTGCGCAGAGCATGTCATCATCCAGGTCCAGGCTGCCTCTGCTCCTGCACGGGATCCTGTTGTGCAGCTCCTTCGCTCCTCTCCCGGTCATCAGCAGCAGGAGACAGAGCCTCCGGAGCGTCCGGAGCGCAGGGCCGCTGGTGCGCTCCTGGGATAAGAGGGAGGATATGGCTGGAGATGGAGAGTACCTTCTGGGGATAAAGAGACTGAGGAGGCTGTACTGTAACGTGGGCATCGGGTTCCACATCCAGGTCTTACCAAACGGCAAGGTCACTGGAGTGCATAATGAAAATAGATACAGTAAGTCACCTTGCATTTTGCTGTTCAAATCCACATAAAGCAGGCTACACATGTGTTACTGTACACGACACACATTCACCTAGTCTTTTTATAGTAAGACTTGAGTTACTTAAATTACTCGAATGAGTATGGATTGTTTAAAGTGTGTGTGCATACCAGGTGCTCACTGGGCACAATGGGAAAGGGTCTTACTTTTTCGTCAAAATCTCTGATGTTTTATATAAAGGGTTTCATGTTGTGTTTCATTGTAAAGAATGTGTATCATGATGTTACCTCTGTGGATATTCTGTGCTTGAGGAGCCTATGCTTCATGAAATAAATTGTACTTTCCTAAATCTCCTCCTATTATTATTAGTTGTATTATTATTATTCTAGGTACTACGTTTCCTTGCCAAAATTCTAGTTTTTACAGGTTTCGGTTTCAGATTTCTGTTAAATCATCTGACATTCAGTTAAATAACTTAATAAATCCTTATGAGTTTACATTATAAACTCTGTGTGATATTTGTGTGAATTCAACCGCTGTCTGAGTGGATTCTGATTCACTGAGCGAGCCAGAGAGTCGATAGATTTGGACAGAAAGACGTGCGTGTCTTTGACTCAGTGTGATACATTTGTTGAGCCCAGCAGATATTAAGTACCTCTAAGAACACTAAGTGATTTGGCCTTTTGGAGGATAAATGTGTTCAGTTAGAAGTGCAACACATAAGTGAGCCACAGTCCTTTCAAGCCCTGCAGTTTGAAGATGATGAATAAGAACATTATTCTGGGTAGTGCAAACTTCCAAAATTGTTTTTTGAGTCTATATAACAATTCTGAAACAATCATAGTGAGCATCATTTTGTTCGGCTTTCTCTTTAAGATGCCCTTTATCATTTCTGTTTCATCCCAGGCCTTCTGGAATTGTCCCCGGTGGAGAGAGGAGTGCTGACTCTTTTTGGAGTGAGGAGCGGCCTCTTCATCGCTATGAGTGACAAAGGGAAGCTCTATGGCTCGGTAAGAACCGGTTCGGACTTTTTTTCTCCATAACCACTGTTTTTAAACTTCTGCAAGTTCTAACTAGTAGCTGGTTACGGCACATCTGAGTACTGTAGCAGTTGTGCTTGGGTGTACCAGATCATTGCAGCACTTTATCTTTCTCTCTTCAATGGTCAATGGGGGTCCCTGCTGGGTCATCGGGAAACTCTTGGCTGAAAAGAAATCCCCCGCAGATGACGCAGTTAACGCGTGGCCGACTCGTAGCGCCCCTGTGGCACATCATGTGGGAATCCGTTGTAATGTAATGGTTAATGTAGTATCCGCAGTTTACTGCAGCTGAAATAATCTGGCATTATCTTTATGACGTGAGAGATGTGCTTCCCACACAGAGCACACATTCAGTGGAAACTATCCCATCATGATGCTGTCATAATGTACAGCTCTCAACAACATTATGCTGAAGATGTTTTGTGTAAAAGCCCAATCAATCAAGATGTTTTTTTGAAAAGGGAGACAGTTGAAGGTGACACACATTTGGCAACTAATAATACCTCATATTTGGTCTATGAAAGCTATAATTAATAATTTCTTCAACAGATGAAAATGAATAATAGGTTATGAATGATATGGGCCTTCAGTAAGAAATAACTGCGTGTGACAACAATCCATGTACTGGAGCTCAGTTGAGAGGGCACAGGGTTGAAATCCATTTCAAATCTATCTCAAATAAAGGTTAAACTGGTCTAAAAAACTCAAACTTTGTTGGTGAATAGACTAGACAACCTTCTTTAAACTTTATAAAGTCCCACCTAACTCAAGTCGTGATTTTAAATGGAGCCTGGCAGGGGCAGACTGGGACTGAAAAACAGTCCTGGACCAGTGTTAATGTTGGCAGCTATTTTTGATTTAGTCTTTAAAGGGAAATGGTTATTAGTTTTAGTCACATTTTAGCCCTTTTTATCCTTCATAGTTTTAGTCGACGAAAACTCAAAACTTTTTAGTCCAGTTGTAGTCGATGAAAAATCTTTACATTTTAGTCAACTTTTTATGCTCGTCACCAAAAGTAATATTATTACAGTAACGCGTTACTGTAATAATATTACTTTTGTCGGTAATGGAGTAGTGTAACACGCTACTTTTATAATTCAGTAATCACACTACAGTTACTAACATTGCCCCGACACGCGTTACTTCGTTACTTACTAAAATCAGTCATAATCAAACCTCAACAAACACCTGCAAAGAACACATGCTAAGGTGAAGCTAAAGCACAGCTATTTGTTGTTTGTTTATATCACGTAGTCTGTTCTTCTTCTCTGTTTTCCGGTTGTTGCCTGTTTTGAATGACGAATATACACTACCGCCGCCTGCTGGTAAGGAGAGTTATTGCCACTCACGCATGCGCAGTTCGTACGTGCTCGGCTGAAGTCTTTGCGGTGTGCTCCAGTCTGGTTCCAGTGCAACACATGGCCAACACGCAGGAGAACACGCCGACGCAACAGCGTGAGCAGAGATAGACTGCGCAAAATATACAGATAGCAGGAGACAGAGGACAGCCACGGTCAGATAGGAAAACATTCAGGATCTGGATCAGTCTTATGCGACAATGGAAACTGAACTAAAGAGAACATTTGAAACTTTAGCAGTCTGCCTGATCTGCCTGTAGGGAGGGGCGGGCCGGCCCTGCGAGTAAAGTAACGAGTAAAGTAACGAGTAAAGTAACGAGTTACTTTATGTAGAGAGTAACGAAGTAGTGTAATATATTACTTTTTTTTTTAAAAGTAATATGTAATATATTACTTTTTTATAGTAACGACTCCATCTCTGCTCGTCACCCTCTCCCTCCGGTCCACATTAATACAAATGATCGCAATACGTATGATTGTATGAAAAGATCTTAAAATAAATACAAATGTATTTATTATAAACGTTAGTCCTTAACACCTATCACTGTGTATATCACCATTCAAACATCTTTTAAAAGTTGAACAAACTCCACACAGCTCAGTAAAGACTGTGAAATGTTGACTTTATTTGATCATTTCCGTAAAAACCAACGTTCATATTTCTCTCTTTGATTATAATACTGATGAACGTTCAAAACAAAGCACTTTGGCAACTTACCACATACGTTTTAAAATGCTTAATAAGCACCGTAACTTTCATGATATAATTTCTCCGTCATAATCGGTTGTTTCCGTGAACGGCCGACTGTTGTGTGACGGCAAATGCTGCGGCTGCAAGGCATTGTTGTCAGGTTTGGGGAAAATAGGACCCAAGTGCAGTTTAAGAAGGACAAAAAAGGTAAGGTAACAAAAAGCGAGCTTTATTTATAAAAAGCCGAAGGCATGAAATAACAAGAAACGAATGAACAGAAACAAAACCGGGGAGCACGACAGACAGGAACAAACTTAAAGACGGGAACAGGCAGGAGACATGGACAAGCATAGACGACAGGTAGCAGGGACATGACGACGAACAGACATGGAGCACAGAGGAAAAGACAAGACTAAATACAGAGAAGGGTAATCACAGGACAAGACACAGCTGGGGAGGGGAGGCAGAAACACAAAGGCAACAGGTGAACACAATGAGGCACAATCAGACACACCAGGGAAACTAATGACAGGAAGGCAAACAAAGGGGGTGGGATCAGACAAGACAAAAGGAGGAAAACATTTCAAAACAAAAAGGTGGAAAATGAAAACATAAATCCAAAACCATGACAATTGTGGGGCAGCATTTTCTCCTCTCCTTTCGTAAAAGGAGGTCCAGTGGTTCCTAAGCTAAAGGAGGTTATAAAGGAAGTTTGAAACCTCCTTTCCTATCATCTAGAGCAGGGGTCGGTAACAGGCGGTCCGGGTCCGGACCCAGACGCCGACCTATACGGACCCAGACCTATAATCAATACATTAATAGGGGATTTCAATTTTGACGGGGCGATTCTATTTTAACCGCCGCCGACAGGGGGCGAAAGAGACGAGTGAGCGATACAGGGAGAGAAACACAGAAGAAGAGATGAGTGAGCGGGAGAGGAAAGTGAGTGAAGAGACAAGTTAGCGATACAGTGAGAGAAGAGGAGAGGAGAGAAGAGTTAGCGATACAGGCAGAGAAGCGGAGAGGAAAGTGAGTGAAGAGAAGAGTTAGCGACACGGAGAGAAGACGGAAAGGAGAGAGCGGCAGGAGAGTGAGTGAAGAGCAGCGATACAGGGAGAGGAGAGGAGAATGAACAGGCGTGTTAGCGGCAGACAGGGAGAGACACATAATGACACATGGCGCTCTCCAAGAAGAGGAAAGTGGACAGTGAGAACAGAGCTTTTAACCCTGAGTGGACTCATTCATATTCATCCTGCCCACTGGGAGCACAGAGCCAGTGTGTCTCATTTGTTCAGAGACCGTGGCGCTCATTAAAAATGACAAAACGCCACTATGAGACAAAACACAAAGTGTTTGACCAAACATTCCCTCTCAAGTCAGAACTGAGGTCACAAAAAATAAGCAGTCTCAGAGCCCAATATGATCAGTCCACCAGGACCCATCCACCAGCTGACCCATTCATTCACTGCCCAACAACGTGCTAATGAATGTTCCCTCAGAGTGGCTTGGATTTTGGGTCGAAACAAAAAACCATTTACTGATGGAGAGGTTGTCAAGGAGTGCATGAGTGCAGTAGCTCAAACCTTGCTTGAGGGAAAACAAAAAGAAGAGCTTTGTGAAAAAATTAAGCAAATACCTTTGTCAGCATCATCAGCCACAAAGAGGAGTGAAGTGTTAACCAGGATGTGCTAGCCCAGCTGGATTAAGCCCTTCATAAGGCACCCTGTGTAAGCTTAGCTGTAGATGAGTCCACTGATGTTTCTGACTATGCTCAGCTGTTCATGTATGTAAGGTTCTTCAAAGTGTTCTGTGAAGACATGTTAGGTGTAACTCCCCTTCAGGCCAGAACAAGAGGAGAGGACATCTACCTGGCCATTAAGGAGATGTTAACGAAGCGAGGAATAGAGCCAAAACAAGTGGTTTCAATAACCACAGATGGAGCCCCTGCCATGATAGGGAGAGAGAAAGGAGCTGTGTCAAGAATGAAAGAGGATCATCCTGAGCTCATCTCTTACCATTGCATCATCCATCAATCTGTCCTGTGCTCCTCCCTGTCAGATGAGCATGCTGAGGTGATGAACACAATGATGAAAAGGATCAATTTTCTCAGGGCATCCTCTTCCTATCAGCATCGCATGCTCAGGGAATTCCTCAGAGAAGTTGATGCAAATGCTGATGATCTTTTGCTGCACAACAATGTAAGATGGCTCAGCAAAGGCAGGGTGTTGGAGCGCTTTTGGTCCATCAGAAGGGAAGTAGCAGCTTTCTTGGCAGAGATGGGAAGTCAGAAGGCAACACAGTTTTCTCTCTTTTTAGAAGATGAGAAAAAGATGGATAATGTGGCCTTTTTGGTTGACATCACTTCGCATCTGAATGAACTGAATTTGAAGCTACAGGGCAAGGACAATTCGATTTGTGAATTGATGACAGCTGTCCGCTCCTTTCAGAGGAAACTTGAAGTGTTCAAGGGAGATCTGCAGGGAGACTGTGCACACTTCCCAGCAGTGCAGGAACAGGTTCAGGGACAGAGAAATGTGTCTTCTTTTGTTGACTTTGTAGATAAGCTGATTGTAAACTTCAGCAAATGTTTTGACAGCTTCAGTTTTGGACGTCAGCTCACCATGTTCATTCAGAACCCATTTCTTATTACATATGTCAGGGAGTTCTCAAAGGAAGTCTCACAGCACTTCAAGTGGGCACATGCTGGGCCTCTCCAGATGCAACTGGTTGATCTCCAAGCAGACGTGGCCCTGAAAGAGCAATTTGGAAGAACTGACCCTGCCACTTTCTGGCTCAAAACAGTCTCTGAGACAGCTTTCCCAGGTCTGAGGAAAGTAGCTCTATATATATTCACCATGTTTGGCTCCACACACAGCTGTGAGGCAGCTTTCTCTAAAATTAAGCACTTTTAAGATGCACAT